TTTCTTTCTTTCTTTCTTTCTTTCTTTCTTTCTTTCTTTCTTTCTTTCTTTCTTTCTTTCTTTCTTTTTCTTTCTCTTTCTTTTTTTCTTTCTCCCCTTCTTCCTCCCCTTCCTTCCTGTTTTTATTTATTTTCTTGGTGTTTGAGATTGAATCCAGAACCTCACACATGCTCAGCAAGCCCTCTACCACTGAACTATATTCCTGACCTCTACCAACTCATCTTGACAAAAAGACATTGAGTGAACAGGCCTTTACTTACCCCATAATAAATGCAAACGTGGAGAGTGCTATTGAAGAACTGGAACAGAAGACTTTACAGCAACAAAAACCTCTATTTGCATTTTTTTCAATAAAGGAGCATGTTCACATCCCATAGTTTAAACAATGGCCAGAGAGATGTTCATTTAAGACTAATAGTTTAATAGAGATTAGAAGCAGGCAATCAAACATTGTCTAAAGCAGAAGCTAAGGACAGGAAGAGCAGCTAACTCACACCTATATGTTAATACCCCAACCAAGGGAGGCTGAGGGAAAGGCCACACAGAGATTCCTGATTACTGGTAGACATTTTGGATAAGTATGGGAACAGAGGCTATGCCATTACCCACCCATCTCTTCAACTGTGTTTTTCTTACTTGAAGAGGCATTCAAAACCAAGTTTTGGAGGAAGGATGGCTACTACATAAGTCATTGTAAATGCATTTAAACTTTTTATGTCGGAATTTCTGATAGCCCAGTGGTGTAGGTTGTACCTTCACCCTCTTGATAAAACTAGGACTAATAACAAACACAGCTGTATTTCTTAAAGGAATTTTAAAACTAAATTTTATTATCTTTAATTGTGTGTGTGCGTGTACGTGGGTATGTGCATGTGAGTGCAGTACCCATACAGGGCAAAGGAGTTGGATGCCCCTAGAGCTGGAGTTACGGGTGTCTGTGAGCTGCCTGATATGGGTGCTGGGAATTAAGCTTGGTTCCTCTAGAGGATCAGGTTCAACCACTGAATAAAAGTGGCCTGCTGCTGCTTGCTGTTATGCATCCCTACTTTAACACGGGTGGATTGAGGCAGGGTGTTTGCTAGTCTGATATTTCTCACTGAAATATTAGATACATTGGCAGTAAAGGGAGAGACTTCAGGTGTGAATAGTAAATGAGGATAAAGGAAGAAATAAATTGGTCCTATTACATTTATTTTTTAATTTGGGCCTCAAGAGAAACTGAGATGGATTACTAAGCACTAAGAGCTTTATTAAAATTTATTAAAGCCATGAACACACACAGAGCAGACAACATCCTGCTGGGTGCTGTGGTGAGAGTTCAGGCCCTGTGCCAGAAATGGACACCATAGCAGGGTCTCTGAAGAGAATCAGACCCTATGTGGCAGAAGAGGAAGCCTCTTCTTTTTTTAAATTTTATTTAATGTACATTGATGTGTTTGTGTGTGTGTGTGTGTGTGTGTGTGTGTGTGTGTGTGTGTGTTAGATCCCCTAGAACTGGAGTGACAGGACAGTTGTGAGCTGTCCTGTGGGTGCTGGGATTTGAACTCAGGTCCTTAGGAAGAACAGCCAATGCTCTTAACCACTGAGCCATCTCTCTAGCCTGAGAAAGCCTCTTCTTATTTTATGCCTTTTAAGGATGGGGTGAGGTGCACAGCAGAAGCCTTCAACCAAGTTCTCTGATTTTTATGCAGGATGAGTGAGTGAGAAATCTTGTCACCAATGTCTGAGTGGGATGCCTGTGGGTATCTGTGAAATGGGGGGAGCTGCTGTAAGGCAGAGGCTAGACTCTAGCATCACTCTCAGAGGATCTAGGGCAGAGAAAAACTGTGGTGACCCAACACCCTGAGGAAAGTTTGGAGCAAGAGATGGCCTTGGTCTTAAAAGTACCAGAAAGGAAAGCCATCTGCATCTGATACCGCCCACAGGGCCAGATGTACAAACTGGAGTGGCTACAGAGTCTATGACCAGCCACACTGGCCCCAGTATCTAAAGAAGAAACTGGAGGTCACAAAAGCCCAAAGCTGAGGAAAGAAATTTACTCACCATCAAAGAACAGAAGTAACATTTCAAGAAAGAGCAATCATCCTCTCTCAAAATGGAAAGAAGGGTGGGGATCTCTGTAGCAGGTGGTGTCCTGACAGAAATAGCTGGAGAACACAAGGAATAACCTGCAGATCCTCCTTGGGTTGAAATCCCCAGCACAGTTAAAACTTTTCCTTTTCCTTTTCCCCCCTTTCCTGTGCCCTGGAATCTGTTGCTTCAGGTTCCTCTGGGACTGAGTTAGTCTCACCATCTCCATATGTGAGCAGTATGGCTCTTTTTGTGCCATAAGGTCACTGACAGTGAAGAGAACAGCACCTCCTATGTTTAAATTTTAAAGTTGTAAAGAAAATACTCATACAATTTACCTTCTTATCCATTTTGGGTACACAGTCCAGCAATGTCAAGTACATCCACATTGTGTGCACTTTTGTGAACTCCATCTTGCAAAACGAAAGTCTGTCAAACAACTTCTGTGACACGCCCCCCTCTCCCGCCTCACTCCCAGTCTCTGACGCCATTTTACTTTAATGCATTTCACTAGTGAGCTCTAATTACTCAAACAACATGGAGAAAAAACTCCCTAAGTTTATCTCTTTTCCACATACATTTGCGTTATGTTGGTGAACAACACGCCTCTGCTTTTGAGGAATCAAGCCTGCCTGATTCCAAAGAAGTGGCTTCAGACTTAAAACTCCTAAGAGAGAAACCGCCAAGCACTGTCCAAGGTCCTGCTCTCTCTGGCGGATACAACCTAGCAGGGACCACCTGCTCCTCAGGGGCATCCACTCCCTTCCTAAGCACCCCACTCTGAGAATAGAGACTCAAGTCTGGCCTAAATTTCCTGCAAAAAGGCTATTGCTCCGCCCCCAATTTCTTGACCTCAACCTTCTCCACAGGTCCCACCCCTCAGATCGCAGCTTCTTCCCCACTCCCACAAGTAGCTCTCCTCTACTGTCCTGCCCAACAGCTATCCACTACTCCCAGATACAGGCTTGGCTTCGGTGGCGCTCCCAGGGCAGAGCTTAAAATGCTCCAGTTCACACAGGCACCTTGCAGGACCCTCATATCCAGTTTCCAGCCATCCTTCCAAGGAGCCTCCAGAGCTTTCCCATTCAGTATCACCAAGAAGCCTCAGGTGATACCAGGTAGAGAAAAATGCTTGGCTGAGCCCCTTCCTGAAGCCTCATCTGCCATGTAAGGAGTTATTTTTATTAAGACAGGGTCTCCTCATGTAACTCTTGCTGACCTGGAACTAAGTAGATCAGACTCAACATGAACCCAGAGATCCACCTGCCTCTGTCTCCCAAGTGCTGAAGGTTAAATGCATGCACTGCCACTACCTCACCTGGCTCCAAAGCACTAAATTTAATAGTTGGTTTTGGGTTTTTTACTCTCCAGAGTTTTGGGATGTTTTCTTCTACAGCTTTATTAAATAACCCTTAAGTCTTTTAGATAACTATTGTTCCATTTTTATCAAAAGAACCTTTTTAGTTTTAATCACAACAGCCTATGTCCTCTTAAAATTAAACTGCTTTTTTTTTTTTTAACTGGAGGCTACCAAGTACTCATTACAGAATTGTGTCCTCATGACTACTGAGAAGTTACATAAAATGCAATGTTTCTGGTGGAAATTTGCTCCAATATTCTTGTTCGTTGAAGCTAGTATGAAGTTTAGAAACCTACATTTAAATAGTGACTTTTACATTGGCAGTACTCAGCATACATGTGCATGTCATTCTAGTAGAAGCTAGAGCACAGGTATGAAGTAAGCCAGGGCTGTGGGAATGTGAAGGGAAACGGAGGCTCCCGAATCATTGTGAGCTTTATAGTTTTACAAGTCTCTACCCAACCCCATTTAAGAGGAGGAAGTGTCAATTGAGAAAATGCTTCCAAAAGGTCAGGCTGTAAATAAGCTTAGAGTGCATTTTCTTAGTGATTGATGAGAGAAAGTCCAGCCCACTGTGAGTGGTATCGTCCTTGGCTCGGTGGACCTGGATTCTGTTAGAAAGCAGGCTGAGCAAGCAATTTTGAGCCAATAAGGAGCAGTCCTCCATGGTCTCTGCATCAGCTCCTGTCCCCAGGTTCCTACCCTGTGGGAGTTCCTGCCCTCACTGCTTTTATGGTGAATCCTTATGGAATTCGGAAAATAAACCCTTTCCTCAAATTGCTTTTGGTGGTGATGTTTCATTGCAAGAGTAACCCAACTTAAGACAAGTTCCATCAAGTTCATTTCTCTAATTCTTCCCAAGTTTTTATCTCCATAGCCAATAAGAACATTTGACACTTGGGGCATTTTGTGCATTTTGCTTTATTTTTTAGAGCCTCTGTGTGAAATATAACAAACATTTTACAGACACATGTGAAAAAAAAATCCCTACTGGAAAGGCAGTTCAGTGTTTTTGGACATAAATCAGCATTTCTTACAAGTGAAAAACCCTGCCATTTGGAAGGTAAGTTTTTAATTTTTAAAGGGCTATCAGGTTCTTCAGAAATACTGCCACCAGTACCCACTTTCTGTATTAGGACAGTGTGGCCTAATGACCAATTTTGGATTGTTAATTCTTACATCAGACAGACACCTCTTGATTTTCTTCCTGAAAATTTCCTTTTTGTCCAACCTGAGAAAATAAATAAACATCATTTCTACCTTCTAGAAACTTCAGGAGAGGAAACAAAACCTTCTTTGCTAAAGTAGGGAATTTAACGTTGACGGCAAGTGGGAACAAGCGATATGGTGAGGGGATGCGGCAATAGATGTGGCAGATAGAGAAAGACTAACAAGGGTCCCTGGGGGCTTTTCTAGGGAGGAAAACAGACAACACATTTCTGTTTATTATACTGGGCACTGTGTCAGCCCCAAGTCTAATAGAGCCTCCTAATAGCCTTTCAGACAGGTTTTGTTTAGTTTTTAAATCAATTTATCCACTTTACAGATGAGAACACTTTGCTTTACACAGATGTTAGCCAATACCCTAAGTTAAACTGAGGTGAAGCCAGAATTAAAACTGAGGTAGTTCCAGATCAGCCTACCAAAATGCAGCAGGTTGATTGTGAGAACCATCAATAAAAGAATGGGTACCTAAATCCCTCAACACAGGACATACTCCCCCTGAGAAGCAATTGAAGACTTACGCTAGAAATTCCATTTTGCACATTGGAGACTTCAAGACTGTACATAAATTCCTAATTGCTTCATAATCAAGGCCATTCTTCAGTAAGTTCAAGTGTACCAAACTTTGGTTCTTACAAAAAAGAGCTAAGAGTTCCTCGTGGCAATCAGGGGTTAGGCCACAGTTTTCCAATCTATATGGAAGAGAGACAAAAAGACATGACTTTGTTCCATGACATAAGACAAGCAGTTAAGAGGACTACAGGAACTCACATAATTAGTTTGTGGGTTAAACATAGCCCACCCTGACATGAATTACAATAAGTCCATGGAATTATGCAAGCATAATATTAAAAAACAGCAGAATTTAAGTGTGTGATTGTGTGTGTGGGCACATATGCCATGGGGTACATTGTGAGGTCTGAGGACATCTTTGTGGAATCTGTTCTCTACCTCTGCAGCCTTTTAAGGGGTTTCAGGGATCAAACTGTTTGCACAAAGTATTAAGGCCCTTTACTTACTGAGCCATCTCACCAGCCCCAAACAGTTGAAATCTTGATCTGAGGATAAATTAAAATATATCAAGAGAAGTAGATTTTAGAAACTTGATACTGAGTGCTTAAAAAGCAAGAAATAACGAGACTTCAAACAGTGTCATTTATGCAAACATACATCCAGGGGCTGGGAGAGAGGATTCAGAAAGAATCTTAAACGGGGTTCCATTGCTGTGAGAAAACACCATGGGCAAAAGCAATTTGAGGAGGAAAGGGATTTTTCATCTTACATGTCCACACTGAAGGAAGTCAGGGCAGGAACTCAATAAGGAACATAGAAGCAGGAACTGAATACAGCAGAAGCCATAGAAAAAGCTGCTTTTTCTATGTTTGTTGACAATGATAGTAAGTTTCGAATATTTGTTTAGGTCAGATTTTAACTTTCTGTTCTCTTGCTTTCCAGAGGTAAGCGAAATATCCCAGTTCTAGCCAAAAATGTAGAGGCACTTTCCACTACCTCCCATATTCCAAAAATACTACTCAGGAGATGTTGCCAAACACAATGGTCTAACTGAAAACGAGGAAACAGGATGGGAGACTACCATAGATGTTTTCTGAAAGACGCCACCCAGCAGGGGATTGAAGTAGATGCTAAAGCCAAAAACAAATCTGAGCCCAGGGCGCCCCTGCAGAGACTAATGCATTAACTTAGGACCATGCACAGAGGGGACCTTGATCTCCTGCTCAGATGTAGCCCATAAGCAGCTCAGGCTCCATGTGAGTTTCCTGGTAAAGGGAGCAGGGGCCATCTCTGGTAACATGTTCTCTGTTACCTGCTCTTTGATCACTTCCTCCTGTTGGTGTTGTGGGGCTTCCCAGGCTATAGAGGAAGAAGGTATAGGCGGTCCTACTAGGTTGGGTCAGATAGTATAGGAGGAGGACTCCCCTTTTCAGTGGACTAGGGGAAGGGGATGGGGGGGGAGAAGGAGGGAGGGCAGGACCTGGAGGAGATGAGGGAGGGGGCTACAATCTGAATATAAAGTGAATAAATAAGAGAAAAAAAGAAAAAGAAAAAAAATAAAGAGAATGCTGTTTAGCGCTTTGTTCTCCATAGATTGCTTTTTTTTTCTATATAGGCCAGGGTCACTAGCCCCAGGGTGGTATCACCCACTGTAGGGTAGGCCCTCCCATATCAATCATTAATCAAGAAAAATAAGGTTCAGTGGTCAAGAGCACTGCTTGCTGTTCCAGAGGACTAGCGGTTTAATTCCCAGCACCCAAATGGCAGTTCACAATGGTCTGTAACTCAGTACCAGGGGATCTGGCACCCTCACACAGACATACATACACACAAAACACCAATGCACATAAAATAAAAATAAATTATAATATATAGAGAAAGAAAATGCCTAACAAACTTGCCTACAGGCCTATCTGATGGAGCCTATTTTCTCAATTGAGGTTCTTCTTTTCAAATAACTCTAGCTTGTGCCAAGTTGACAAAACATACAAATGGGCACACCCTCAACCAGGACAGTAGGTAATGATTCTTGCTATGCAAGCATTAGGATTGCATCTCCAGTCAGAACTCACACAAAAAGCCAGGTATGACTGTGAGTATATGTAACTCCAAGACTGCCAAGAGCAGAGACAGGGTGGGTGGCTTCTGGGTTGTTTGCTAGCTGCTATCCTAGTGGCAGCTTTAGAGAGAGAGACTAACTCTAGGAAATAAGGTAGAGAGTAAAAGTGCGACACCTGAGGTCATCCTTTGGCCTCTAAGCACATCCAACACACACACATACACACAGACGACACACATACATACACACAGATCGATCTCTCTCTCTCCCTCCCTTCCTCCTTCTGACACACACACAACTACACCTTTTGTAAGGAGAGTCATAATTGTTTATCATACATTTCAAACTTACTTGCCTCTAGTTAAGAATAAAGAAATAATTAACCAACTATCTGATCAAGAACCCTTGCTCAAGCCAATAATGTAATAGCTGACAAAATAAGTATGTTCTCCCAACCAACAGATTTGAATTTACTTTTTACATCCTGTTGACCCCATCATAGAATAATTTCATGCTCATATAGATGTTGAGCATATTAAACTGTTTTGAAGTTGCTGCCCACATGGAAATCACACTAATGCGATTACACTAAAAGCAAACTGCAGTGTGGACAAGAGACAGCAGCAGCAATGATGCAAGGTACACAAAGAATCACAGAAAGTACATCTTAAGACAGAAAGCATTACGAGATAAAGAGCTATCAATAATACACCCAGTAACGGTCTTTTTAAAATTTGTAGTTATATCAAGCTTGGTGATACACTCCAATAATCACAACACTAGGGTGGCAATGGCAAGTGGGTCATAATGAGTTCAAGGCCAGCCGGGAGTATATAGGAAGATCCTGTCTCAAAAACAAAGACCCCCATTGTGTAGAAAATAACTGTGCAGGACAAAGCTAATGCAGTAGTTTGAGGGAAAATTATAGCCTTACATATCTGTGATAGGAAAGAAAAGCAAAATGTATGAACAGCATCCCATTCAAGAATTTTGAACTGGTAAAATAAGCCTATGGAAAAGCGTACTAGATCTAAAGATTAATGAATAGGAAGTATCAATGTTATAAAAAAAATCCAAAATACAAATGACCAAATTTCCAGTATTAGGATTAAGAAAAAAAAAAAAAGACCAGTATAGATTTAGAATTTAAACAAGTATTAAAATTTTGCTGATAATTTACATAATTTAGGTGAAATAGATAAAATGGATCAAAAATAACTCACTATTGAAAACCCAAACATAAAATTTCATTTAAATTTATACCTCAAGTCAAAATAATCTAAACATAAAATTAGTTTCACCAGAAATTTTTAATAAAATCAAGAAATTGTAGTCTTATAAACATTTTTCTTAAAAAAAACCAAAAAGATAAATATGTTTGAATTCATTTTATGAAATTAGTAATTTAAGCATAAAATTTAATGAGGACTGCAAACTGGGGGAGGAGCATGGGTGGGAAAGCGGGAAGGAGAGTGGGATTGGGAGGGGAGGAGGGAGAGAGCTACAGGGGGAATACAAAGTGAATAAATTAATAAAATAAAAATAAACTTAAAAATAGTAAAAAAAAATTAGAACTTAATCTTTTTAAAGCAGAGATGCTGAAATATGTATTTTTAACAAAAAATTATAAGAAGATATTTAAAAGAAATGCAGTTCAGGAGGCAGAGGTAGGAGGATCTCTGAATTTGAGGCCAGCCTGGTCAACAAGCAAGTCCAGGGGCAGCCAAGATTACACAGAGAAACCCAGTCTCAAGAAAAAGAGAAAGAGAGAAAGAGAAGGAGAAAGAGAAAGAAGGAAGGAAAGAAAGAAGAAAGGAAGGAATAAAGAAAGAGAGAGAGAAAGAAAAAAAAAAGAAAAGAAACAAAGAAAGCAATCTTAGACAAGTTGGTTTTAGCCTCCCAAAAATAAGGATATGGTTCTAATATCAAAATTGCAAAGTACCAAGAGAGTATAGGAGCCAAAATTATCTTGAAGGATGGGAAGACTTATAGAAGGTACCAGAGCTCAGTGTAAAGTTTTATTCATCACAGTGCACACTATTGAGGCTGCACACAGGCTAAAGGAGAATAGAAAACCGAGCCATGGATCCATCCACCAGTGAAAATATTACTGATGGGCAAGATGTGCCTGACAATCAGGGATGAGAGGAAAAAAAAAATCTTTCTTGAAGAAAGGATTTGCATAGAAAAAAAAAAAAAAGCTAGATTGGATCCTACTGCCAAACATTTTAAACATTTATTTATTATCTATGTGTGCATGTTGGAGGTGTGTACGTGCCACAGTGCTCAGACCATAGGTGGCAGGCTGAGGAAAACTTACAAGAATTGTTTCTCTCCTACAACTTGGGTTGTACAGGTTCTGAAGATTGAACTTAGGTTCTTGGCAACAGGTGCCTTTACCCACTGTGCTCACTGACCACCCCATCAGAAGTTTTTAAAGGTCAATGAAAGATCTCAAAACTTCGTAATTTGTGTTTGGGATTTCAATATTTGGTATTTGGGTTTCCTGCACAGAAAAGACTATCTTTGACCCAGAGATCAAAGAAGTGAAGATGAATTAGCATACCTCAGTTCAAAGGCAAGTAAGAAACTGAGTGAACCCAAGCCTTTAGAAAGGGACAGAGATTACAAGCTCCTAGGCAACTTGGCATTCTACAGAAACAAGATGATTGTTAAAGTCTTCAGTTTCACATAAAAAAATTAATTCAAGGGCAACTGGAATATCTGTACAATAGCAGAGTATGGAGAACCCAAATCTGATAACATGAGGTACTAAGAAAGGCAAGAAGAAATTTGAAGTAAAGATTCTAAACCAAAGGGCATATAAAACACAGGCCCACGTATTTGAAATTCAGCTCCTTATTTCTCAGAGTAACTTTCTATAGCACTGTTTGCTTTTTATTCCCCACATTAAAATTACCTTTATCTCCAACAACCACCAACCAGACCTTATTTTGTAATGGAAAACTGAACTCACCCTAGCCTCTGAATGTGGCATCTTGGGTCTTTTAAAGCATGACACAGAATTTGCAGGCCAGTATTCCTCAAGTTGTTGTTCCCAAGGTCTAGGCTCCACAGGCTTGAGTTGTTCACAAGAGCAGAAACCAGATCCATACAAGAATCACTTGTGAGAACACAGCCCATCAACCTACAGGAAATACATTAGAGGAGGAAAGAGCTCTTCAGTAGCAAAACTAAGCTAAGTCCTTCCAGGAGATTTGCCCAGGCAGTTAAGCTGTTTTATGCATTAATACAGCCCAGGACACACTTAAGATGGCCTCATTCCCAATAGAAACAGATGGAATTTCTTAATGGGCAGAAGAGACCAGTCTCATAGACAAAGCTTTCAAAATCAAATGTATATTAGGGTTTTTTTTCTATTTTCATTTTTTCTTTTGGTTTTTAAAGATTTTTATTTTATATGTATGGGTGTGTTGCTTGCATGTATGTGTACACTATGCACTCCCAGTATTCAGGGAAGCCAGAAACCTGCTGGAGCCTCCTCGTACTGGAGTACAAACATTTGTGAACTACCATGTGGGTGCTGGGTTCAAACTCTAGTCCAATGTCAAAATGGCCAATGCTTGTAACATCTGAGAAGTCTCTCCAGGAATTAACAATTCTTTTAAAAATGGATATAAATGATTCCAAGAAACGCTTATGTCTTTAGGATTTGTTTATATGTATAATATTATAATATATATTATATATGCATACATACATACATATATATATTACACACACTATATATATTAAGGTTGGAGGTCTTGAGGTATATAAGCCAATTGTAAAGGCCCCAAGTTCAATCAGTTACACACACACAGTTATTTAAGTTCTATCTTTTGGCTATGGCACGGCTGTCATACGCAGGAACTCATAACAGCTATAGTTACCTGCCCAAGACCAAAATGGCCGAGAGGAGCTCTAGAACCCACCTCTATGTTGATGTGCTCTAGGAGGGAGAATCTTTTCTTTGGGAATTTGTGGCTACCGGTAGTTACCTTTGTTCCAAAGATAACCCCATAGCTTTGCATAGGAGCAGTACTAATTAGACTCAGTGGATTCTAAAATAGTCATTTTAAAAAGGACATAAAATTGAGAGGGAATAAAGTTTTAGGGATAGTGGGAATGGTAATGGATAAAAGGAAAATATATTGTCTAAAAAATTTTCAATAAACAAAATTGTTGTATGAAAATAACATTAAAGAAGAAACAATAAAGCTACATATAAAATATTTTTCTAGGTCCTTTGCACATTCACAGTCTTTACCTCACAGGGCACAGGCCTGTGATTTTTGGTACTTAGGAGATATATCATGAGATCAAGGCTCTCCTGGGCTACAGAGTGAGTCCCAAGCCAGCCTGAACAAGTTAGTGGGATCCTATCTCAAAGGTATATGTGTAACACCTCTGATCCCCATGTCACATCTGTTATTCACTTGTTTTTCCTTTTTTTTCTGCCTAACAAAACCCTAGATATACTGTTCTCTTAGAGTTTGTCTTTGTAGTCATAAAAAAGGCATTGGCTTAATAATCATATCCAGTTAGATCAAATTCAGTAAAGATCAAGGAAATTCAGAATAACTCTCCAAAGTATGTTAATGGGTGCTTAGATGTCACAACAAACTCATTTGGGAGTTGTTACCAAATACCTGAAATAAGGCAATTTAAGTGTCCAAGGTGAGGCAGAGCATTATGGTAGAAGAGATAATATGCCCACCATATCAGGCTAAGAAGCAGAAAAGGGTAGGAAAGTACAGGGGAAAATGACAGACCTTATAGGCACCTGCTTCCTCTAACCAGGCTCCACATGGGTAATGTTTCTATCACCTCCTGAGAGCATCTTTGGATAATGACCAAGAATTCAACATCTAAACTTTTGGGGGGACATTCAGAGATCAAACTGTTAACAGATTTCATGACTCAATCTATTAGGACAACACTTCTGTGTATGCCAAGAACATCTGTAATCCCAGCACTCAGGGAGGCAGAGGCAAGCGGATCTCTGTGAGTTCGAGTCCAGCCTGGTCTACAAAGTGAGTCCAGGAGAGCCAAGGCTACAGAGAGAGACCCGGTCTTGAAAAACAAAACCAACACCAAAAAAGTTTAAGATATGCTGGGTAGCTGGGTGTGGTGCTGCACACCTGTAATCCTAGCATTCAAGGAGGCAGAGACAGGTGGATCTCTCGAGTTTGAGGCCAGCCTGGTATACAAAGTGAGTTCAAGACACCCAAGACTACACAGAGAAGTCCTCTCTCTTAAAACTAAAAAGCAACAACAAAAAAATGCTGGGTTTATAGGGCTGGAAAGATGGTTCAGTGATTAAGATAACTGCCTGCTCTGCAAAGAACCTCAGTTCAATTTCTGGTACATACATGGATGGTCATGGCTCTCTATACCTTCAGTTCTAGGGTTCAAACACCCTCTCCTGTATTACATGGATACAAGGCATACATATGAGACGCAGACATACATACAGGCAAAACATCCATACCCATAAAATAAAAATAGAAAGCAATTGTGGATTTGTGTTTAAGGACCCAACCATTAAAAGATCTAGTGAGGAAGTAGGCCGAGATTGCTTTTTCACTGTTACCCATTTTTTTTCTCAGTTCTTCCTTACAGCTTTTCCCTGACCTCTAAAACAGTCTAAAGTACACAACAACAGTCATAGAAAGCCTACTCCAACTCCTGAAGACTGCAGGTTGGCTCCTGAAGGGTGCGACACAGAATCTTTATTCCACTGTCTCTGAGTGTGTTATATCCCAGGTCCAGATGTATCAAATTCTTATTTTTCAGCAGGGCGATGGAGAGATACTCACTACCAAGCGCAGTGAAATCACAATTCCTTAACCTATAGGGAAAAGCACAGCATGAGGAAAGATGGAGTCAGTATCTACTGCGCAGTGAAGGTCTCATGTTTGCTCAACACTCCAGCCCAGATCACACCTCTTATTGTCAGCCTGTCCCTCGTGACTCATTTAAATCTACATCTACCAGACTTGTGTTCTTCAGAGCCAATCCTAATGTTTGTCTCCGTTTTCAATTTTCTGAAAAAGGTCTCACTCTGCAACATAGGTTGGCCTACTCACTGTATAGCCCAGGATGGGTATGAAACTCAGTAATTCTCCTGCCTCAGCCTCCCTAAATCTAGAATTATCAGTGTGAACCATGACACCTGGCTCAACTTTTCATACTCTAAATCAAATGGTAATCTATTTTCCTTAAAATGTATACAGCTCTCACAGAAGTAGTTACAAGGAGTAGAGAAGCAGTCATGGGGAGTATAATAGGGATAAACAAAGGGAGTATTCTTTGTATAGAATAGTGTCACTTTTAATCAACAAAGAAAAGATATGTTATACCATTAATAATTTTGGTAAACATGCCTTATATATGGGAAGAAATAAGTATAACTCTTACAACAAAATTAATTTGAAAAAAAACTTAATATGTAAGTGTTAAATTCAGGATAAAGTTGGGATAGCTTAACATGTAAATGTTAAAAAGCCATAAAAGTTATGAGATGACAAAATTACATTTTAAAAAGGTATTTTTAGATATGATGAAAAGTTTTAGGAATCATGAGACAGAATTTAAACATCTGGGCTTGGTATGTAGTAAATTTCTGTAATCCCAGTATTTAGAAGCTGAAGCAAGAGAATTGTCAATTCAGGACTAGACGAAAAGTTCAGAGCTAGACCAGACTACATAGCAAGTTCAAAGCTAGCACAAGCAACACAAGATCATATCTTGAAAGCAATTTACATATTATGAAGCTTTGAAATAATAAAGGAAGTTAGACAGAAACAAGCTAGTAAAATTATCTGTAGTATATAAAAGTAAGCATGCATGATAATAATCATTAGGTATGACATTTATAACAGAAAGCATCAAGTAGAAATTAGAGCCATTGAAGAAGCAATTCCTAGCATATGAAAATCCCTAAATATCTAAAAACGTACTCAAAGTCATTTAAAAGTCGTGTTTGTAAAAGAATAGTGTGTATACATATAGGCATATGTACATTTGTGCATATACATACATAAGTGTATGTCTATGCGTTCATTGTAAATTGTGTTACCCTGGGAAGGTAACAGCAGACACTCACACAAGGCTTTGTAGAGTACATTGTGGATGCTTTAAGACACCACTGAGATGCTCTATCCCTTCATCTCCCAACAAGTTGCCTGTCAAGCATAAATGTGTCAGCCTCTTGCTTTTGGTGAGAGCCATGGAGAGATCATAACAAACATCTTTTGTGAGGCCACAATTTGATAAGCTGAAGGAGAAACAGTTTGGGAAAGAAACCACTCGTTAGTTTAATTCAAGACATTTCTTCAAATGTCTTGCCTTGCTTCACGAGGAAATTATCTGATGCTTTTATCAGTCACTTTTCCTGTAGAATCAACCTCGACAGACATTTAAATTGTGAATTCCATTGCATCTAGAACAGGAGAGAACGAAAAAAGGGGAGAGCTCTAGAAATAAATGAAAACAAAATAAAAAGGAAGAAAAGTATTTACAAAACCAAGTTAAACATGAAAAGACTAGGCTGGGGAAATAACTCAGTTGGCAAGTCCTGTCCACACAAGCATAAGGATCTCCATTTTGATCACCAGCACCATGTAAAAAGCTGAGTAAATTAGCATATGTTATAAATCCAGTTATGGTTGAGTGGAGACAGACAGATCCCTGGGACTTGTGCTAGCTTGCCAGCCTAGCCTATTTTGGTAAGTTCCAGCCAGTTAAAGACTGTCTCATAAACATGAGATGGATGACTTCCAAGGAACAATAACCAAGGTTGAACACACACACACACACACACACACACACACACACACACACACACACCCCAGTGAGATACATAAGAGATATAGTGACAGAGGCACACAGAGAGACAGAAAGGCAGAGAGAAAAAGACAGATACACATACAGAGAGATAGACATGGACAGAGAGTGACAAAGAGAGATACAGAGAGACACACACTCAAAGAGAAGTGCAGAAGTTTCTGAGTTTGATCCCAGGACTAAAGAAAGAAAACAGAGAGGATTGAGTATAGGAAAACCTCTGCAGATTTGTGGAAGACTCATCCAGGACGGATCAACATGGCAGCTAACGTTAACCTACAGGTCATCCCTATCCAGCTCACAAGTTATAAGCAATCTGACTCACGACAGTCTCTCTAGACGGCAGCTTGGGTTTAAGGCCTTGCACAACCACTTTACTCCGTCGTCTGACAAATTGTTGGTGGACAGATTCAGAAACACCAGGCTTTCGTTTCTGTAGAGTACCTCGGATAGACTTATACAGAAGTCTGAATCCAGGCCACAGGATTCCAACCTGGAAAGCAACATAGAAGGAAAATGACACATTTCAGAGAATTACAGCCACTGTCCACTCAGCTAGAGGATGGCAGTCTCCCACTTTGGAGATCTTGGCTGAACACTCAGCTTCTTTACACAACCCAAAATATTTACTAGCCAAAGCATATGGCCCTGATGGAGTTTTCAGTGGGACTGGAAAAGAAATGTCTTTCCCATCCCCCAATTCCTCTCAAAAATATGAACAGATACAGTTTTAAATCCATTAAGTGGTATTTTTTTCCACCAGGAGGAGAGAAGTTCCCTCCGCCTACAACTTAGAAGGGCAGAAGGATGACTGTGAGATGGGTGTTGTGCACTTATTTGTACAGCAAAGACCATTAGTCAAAAGACAAAGCTGTGTCACGCACAGGCTTTTATTCACGAGTCAACCCACATTTTCTAAAGGACCTAATTTTGCTTTAATATTGAAAACTTTATTGTAAAAGAATGGTAAATAAAGTGAGGTAAGTCAGACCCAAAGATCTACACATCTCAGAGAAACTCTACATAGTTAAAATAGGACTTAATTCCTAAGAATGAAAAGCAAGGGGGTAATGTGCTGTTGGCAGAGTGCTGGCCTGGCATGCCAAAAAGCCCTGGGTTCGATCCCTACCCACATTATAAAAAGAATGAGAATAAGCAAATCAGAAATAAAATTGCTTCTTAAATCAAAATGAGAGAGAAAGTGCATGTGGGGGTCCTTGTAAATACCTGCACAGAGGCCTATGCAGAGATGACATGGGCTGTGTGCACAGGTATGTCCTTCATTTTTATTTTATTTTTGTTACTTTTTTTTTAAGCAGTGCCTACATCCCTAACCTTTAAGCAGTCCCTTTTCACCGAGTCATTGAGTTCCCTCCATTAAAGGCTTTGTATTAGAAGGAACAGGAACATCTGTGTCATCTGTAGGCATAAGGTTATTGTGTAATTCAAATGCTGATTTCTGTATCTCCCATATGTGGTTGCAAGCCTTGTTCTAAGAATCTTCTGTCTTGAAATTGTATGAACTCTTGCTTCCCAGTGGCCCCCTGATAAGTCAATAAAGCAGCTTACAGCCAATCAATGAGCTGGGGAGAGACTTCCTGTCAGCCAGAGGAGGTGGAATTAGAAGAGGAAGCAGAGGATTCAGACAGGGGACTCAATGATGAATGGAGGTCCTGGAGACACCAGGAGAGAGAGCGCTCGGTAGGAAAACTACAAAGTGCAGTATCCTGGGACTTAACATTGGGAGGAAACCGGATTAGCCTAGAGGGTTAAGAATGGAGTAATAACTGCTCAATTCTTGTGCTGTGAAGCAGATTATAAACAAATAAAAAGAGTCTCAGTTGTTTATGATAGCAAGGTTAAGAGTGAAACTTGAGAAAGTTATATAAAAATAACTGAACAGTCATCCTACCATTTGTCACTGTGGCAAAATAGCCAGCAAGCAACTAAATGGAGTAAGATTTATCTTGTTTATGGTTTCAAAATATTCAGTCCATCATGGCATGGATGGGGGTGGGCAGAGGCGTAATGTGGTGGCTAGGAAGAAGAAAAGAGTGAAGTTGGGAAGAGAGGAGAAGGAAGGAGACTCATTATGTAGACTTGGTTGGCCTGGATTAAAGGTGTGTGCCTCTATCTAAGCTTTTCATGCATATTTTAAGAGCTAATTTATTATGCAGAATGCAGTGTTGAAAACACCTACAAAGACAAGGAGAGTAGGTCTTTCTTCTTGATAAAATTTATGAAATTATAGTGAAACATTCACATGAAAGTTATTGATAATGTGTACCTTTTCAGTGTGTCCAGGTACAAGATCTGAAGTGTTTCTCTACAATTTAATTTTCTAGGACATTTTATCCTACATTTGCAAAATTCTTACAATAAGAGATTCTAGTTAGCAGAAAGGTCTGGAAAGTACTGTTTTTCAACACTTTCCTGACTCCTATTGTGTAAAAATAAGAGAGTAAGATATCAAAGTGCAACTCTAGAGTTCAGCTTAGCATGATCCATGCACAAATCAGACTAATAAGGTCATTAATACTGTCCAAATCTAATGCAATGTCAAGCAAACTGGAAGCTGGATACTGTCCCATATGAAATATTTACAAAAGGCCTGTAACACTAGTGATTATAATACCCATGTGGCCACTCACATTTGGAGAGCAACCAGCATTCTATAATGTAGTGTTATATAATTGGAAACTTGATAACTTCCAACAGAACAGTCACTGCTAGTCCTACTAAGTCAAGTCACACACAGAGTCTCCTATTTGATAGCTTAATCAGTAGAAGGCATTACTCAAATCTTAACAGAAAATGCGACTTCTGGTGTTGAAGCTTTTGCTTTAGAACAGCTAACACTGTAGAGAACATCTTCCCTACCAATAACAGTGTTGTTGGTTTTGTTTGTTTATTCTATTGATATTTTCTTTTTAAACAGAAGAACCCGTGGCATATATCTCACTTGGCTTCCAGATAGTACAGCTATAATCCTAAGTCTACTTGCCTGCTGGCTAAGTTTCTATCTCAACCTGACCCACCACAACTGTACTCAACAATCACCCATCAACTCTCGAGATGTGCTACGTTGAGTGAATTTCATCTTTTAAAACCTTCCTTAAGTGAATTTCGCCATTTAAAACATGGTTAAAACTTTTAAAAAATCTCCAGTGGTCACAGAATTTACCTTTCCATTTTCAAAAGGTCTTACTCCAGGCTTTGCTACTTTTCCAGTACCTGGATTATAAATCTTATTTGTGGGAATTAACTTACCTTGGCCCTTCATGCATTAAGAGTCAGTCCCAACTCTCAGGACTGTCCAGGGATTATAAAAACTTCTATGTTGAATCTAGTTTTTCAGTTTTTTGTGTGTGAGAAAATGAATTAACTAGAACATTTCACTAGAAAATAAGGGTTTTCTTAAAAGCTGTCATCCAATGTGGAAGCCAAGTGTGATGGTTAAGGCTCTCTCATTCCTTAAGAGCATTAACTGAAGGGCCACCAATAAGAGTGAGTACAAACCTTGACAGTTGACACAGCTGCCACACTGTTCTTTCTCAGCCCTCTAGGCTTGGCTTTGAGCCACAGTAGAAGATGGGTAGGGATTCATTAATTATCACTAATCAAGTACAACAGAGCTTTTTTCTAATATGGTTTTCAGTCATCAGTAATCAAAGACACAGCATATCCCAGAACTGAAATAAGAAAAATGTTAATGTTCATCAGCTCTTGGTTGGTTTCCTCCCTTCATTTGGGAGATGAAAGACAGAGTTATACAATGAAAAGTGTTTCATGGGGAATGAGGAGTGAGTAGTCTTAGTGGGGAAAAAAATGAACTAGAAAGGTAGGCTTCCACTAACTGTACAGCCCCATGAACACCAAGCCCAGACATCAAGTGTCTAATTTGGCAGATACAAGCTAAGTTACAATAAAAACTCAAGCTTACCTCAGCACCCGTAATTTGCATTGTTGGCATTTCAAGGCTTTGCTTAAGTTCTCGAGTCCATTTTTGCCTAACCGAGTCTCTCTCAGGTCAAGATGTGTCAGGGTATGGCAGGAGGACAAAAAACTAAAATCATGACAGCTATTCAGGAAATAGACTTCTCTGAGCCTTCAAAAGAAATACATGCAGAATCATTATATAATTATCTCCACCACAGTTTTATCATCCCCTTCCAATTCTTCCTTTCATCTCTTACCGGACTCTGGACTTCTCATACTCCAGGTAGGGCTCCAAATCAGAGTTCCAGAGAATTGCTGAGAAAAACAAATAGGCTACAACATATCTTTTGATTTGTAGCCTGACAGCTACAATAGTCAACTATTCTAACATGACAGGAAATGAAGATGATAACGTCAGGAAAGGTAGAGAGAAGCCTCTGACTACCAAAACTATCACTGTCACTCTGAATACTGCAAGGACAACATGTATTTATAGTAATTAAATTCTTCCCATATGCTGGGTATTGTGGCACATGCCTGTAATCCCAGCACTCAGGGAGGCAGAGGCAGGCAGATCTGAGTTCAAGGCCAGCCTTGAGTTCCAGGACAGCCAAGGCTGCACAGAGAAACCCTATCTTGAAAAACAAAAGCAAACCCTTTCTACAATCAAAAGCGAATTCACAATTAAAATCAAACACCAGATGTTTATCAATACTAACATCTATGGTTGCAGTTACACTGTCACTCTGTGGGCATTAGTGAGTCTACAGAGGCAGCATAGAAAGCAAATACAAAGGCCATCTTCCAATTTTTCTTTATTTCATTTTTCTTAATTGCATTTGTGTTCAACATACTCAATTCTCCTGCAGTACCTCTTCTGACCCCGATTTCCATTCCCTCATACTGCATCTTAACCATTATTCCCCTGGAGACCATGTCCCTCCTTTCAGCTCATTGCCAGCATTCCATTCCCTCTATTCCCAAGTAAGCACCCACAAGAAAATACTTTTGCCTATTTACACAGCTAACCATCCTCCTAAGTCACTATGTAAATTTAAATTGTAAGCAGTTTTTCAGGGGAAAAGGACTTACACTAAGGAGCATAAGACTGAGAACAGTCACCCTGGTGTCATCCCTTAGAGAGACCCTTCTTCCTTAAAAGAAGCCATAGCCAAAAGGGAGCATTGGTTATTAATATTTGTGCTGGTGACATTTGGGGAAAGACAATGTGAGAGAGATGCTTAGAGATGGGCGAGAGGACTCATGTATCCAGCAGTCTCTCCTTATCTATAGGTTTACATCTGCTTAAAATCTAAAGTCAGAGCTCATAAACAATGAGATTCTAAGGAAAAAATATTTGGTAGGAAGGTAGTCTCCAAAAGAACACCTATTTTGGCGGTACTAGGAACAAGGAGGAAATCACTTGTGTAGCACTAAGTACATACAACTCATGAGCAGAGAGACACTTGAACACATGACTAGCCCTAAATACAGAATGTGTTGACTCTCCTGGGGGCTGGAACTGTTAACAGCAAGTGACATGAAAACGTGCACATTTTAAATTGAGAGTATCTGGAAGCAAATTAAGATCTTAGGACTGACAACAGTAAACATGGGCACAGATGAGGAGCAGGTGGGCTGTTTGTATACTGTGGGCATAATTGCATCACATAACTGACATTTTCTTAACACATCCATTTATGGGCCACCTGACTCACATTTAAAAAAATCATAGACACTTCATTCTCAATAACTAAAAATTGAAGAGAAAGCCCACCAGGGGGTTCTGTTAATGAGACAATTTACTAACAATAGTAAGACAGTCAGACAACGCAATGACAATGCCTATCAGCAATAAAAGCAAACTATTCAAATACATAACAAAGGTAAAGCTCTACAGAATTTTGTTGGAAAAAAACACAAATATATACTGTGTAAATTAAATGGTTTTCATAATGAGAAGGCTAGTTCAAATTAGAGTAGAAAATGATTGCCTCAGGACTGAGTGATATGAAAGTTAGCGGTGCAAGAGTTAGGAGGTGTAAATGGAACATTTTAATCTCACTACTTTTCTACCTTATTTTGAGTGTTGGCTACATAGATGTTTATAATTGTCATTAAATTGTCACATTCAGTACAACTGATTTTATCAACATAAACTATTCAAAGGAAAATTAATATAAGTTTCTATGCCATGTCTTTGAAAGTAATTTTGTGACCTTAATTTAAGGCCTAGTTCAATGCCATGCTTCATCTAGAAAATTCCTAATGGAGCCTCAAAGCCAACAGCTACTACAAACATTATATCTATCTCAGAACAAATGAAGTCATACTCCTGTATATCCTCAGGCATCTCCATTTTCCATTTCCTTAGAATATTTTGCCCAGTGCTTGTAAGTACAGTCATATATCACTTCATGAAGGAAGAATTTTATTTTTATAGTATTTTGTGATTGTGTCCTTATGCAAACATGAAAGTCTGTCTTTACACATACTAACATGGATATGGCCACTAGGCAACAAAGTGTTATTGGGACTACTTTCATCCCTCATTGACCAAAAAGCCTTTATGTGTCGTATGACTGTTTCTATTTACTACCGATTTCTCCTAACTAGTAAGAGTAGAAGGTAGGACAAAGAAAAACAATGAAAAAATGTAGAAGGAATATCTTGAGTGTTGTATAGATGCAGCATCTGTCAATTAAGAAAAAAAACGCCAACAAAAACCTATGGCCTATGATCAAAGCAGGAAATTGGTGGGACATCCAGCAGGCAGAAGGGATTCACTGGCAAGATGTGAAGAGAACGAGGAAACCAAGAAAACCCAAAAATCTGGGCCCAGGGGGTCCTGCAGACAGATGCACCAACCATGCATGGAGAGGACCTAAACCATCTGCTCAGATGTAGCCCATAGGCAGCTCAGTCTTCATGCAGGTTTCTGAGTAAGGGGAACATGGGTTGTCTGACACGAACTCAGTTGCCTGCTCTTTGATCACTTCCTCATAGCAATGTGGCCTTGCGAGGCCACAGAGGAAGAGGATACAGGCAGTCCTGATGAGAGTTGTTAACTAGGGTCAGATGGCAGGGGAGGACGACTCCCCTTTTCAGTGGACTAGGAAGAGGGAGGAAGGGTAGGACCAGGAGGAAATGAGGGAGGGGCTTATAATTGGGATATAAAATGAATTGTTAAAAAAAAGTAAAAAAAAAAGATGTGAGGAGAATGGATGTATGGGGCATGAGCTCAGGTAACCAGCCTTGTGGCAGAATGTAAATTAGTATAAATGGGCTAATTTAAGTTATTAGTCTTATATTATTGGTATAAATGGGCTACTTTAAGTCAGAGAAGAGTGTAGCTATATGGCCTAGGTATTTGTAAAATAATAATTGAATTTCATGAATCATTCAGGAGCTTGGGAATGGGAGAAAAAACTTCTTCCCACAACAGAAAAGCTCACATTAAAATTTGCCATGTGCAAGGTGGTGGTGGAACACATCTTTAATTCAGCACTCAGGAGGCAGAGGCAGGCAGATCGCAGAGTTTGAGGCCAGCCTGGTCTACAGAGCAAGTTCCCGGACAGCCAGTGCTACACAGAGAAACTGTATTGCAAAAAACAAAATAAAACAAACAAACAAACAAAAAAACCCAAAACACAAAAATCACACATGCACACACACACACATTCCCATACAAGACTTACAGTAGTTTTTGTAGTTTACACCTTGGGTGACTTAATTCTTCATTTAGAATTTTAATCAATAATTCATCAAGACTGCTTTCACAGAGATGCATTTCTCTCAGGGATTCATTTGTATGAAGCACAGAAAACAGATCTTGCCAGTAGTGAGTGATTCGAACAGTAGCATCCTTGGAGCTGTGTAATTGGAAAAAAGGAAAGACAAGCCATGTTTGCCTTAGAAGATTCTATTGGATCAAAGTATGCTATGAAAGAGCATCAGGTACATCTTTGCTACACACAGTCCACCAGGACGTCTGCTCAGGCTACCCCAAGATGTTATTTACCCAAGCCTATCTCCCCAAGTCTCATCCGTTCCCTCCACATATATGCAATTAAAAACCATAGAAACTTCATTTGGAAGGGAGAAAGTCAAGGGTAAGAAAAGTCTGACCTACATATCTGTGTATTTTGTTTTTTGTTTGTTTTAAATTTTGAAACAGGGTTTCCCTATATATCCCTGTTTAGTCTAGAACTTGCTATGTAGACCAACCTGATCTCAAACTAACAGGCTCTGCCTCCACAGTGCTGAGATTAAAGGCGTGACCAACCACTTCCCCCAGGTGAATGCGTAAGGTTATACACCCATGTGTGGACACCAGAAGATCACCTCAGGTATTGTTCCTCGGGTATTGTAGTACAGCGTTTTTGAGACAGGGTTTCCTCACTGGCTTGGAAATTGCCAAATAGGCCAGACTAGTTGGCTAGTGAGTTCTAGGAATCTGCTTGACTCTGCCTCCAAAACACTGTGATTACATATGTATGTCACTCTGCAAAGTTTTGTTTAATGTGGGTTTAGGTATCGAAATGTCTTAAAAGATTTCAAGGCAAGTGCTTTACTAACTGAACCATCTCCCCAGCCATCTGCATTGTGATGAAATTGAAATGGCTGAGGTTGGGGTGTTGTTTAGTGATAGTTATCTAGCATGTTGAGATGCTGGGGTTTGGAGTCCCAACTCTGCGGAAGGGGAATGCAATGAATGATGCTGCAGAATTGTGGGCTGTGACTTGGGTCTCAGCTTGTAAGAGGATTCAAGAGCTTCCTATTTACAAACATCTTAGATAAATGGTGAGCTAGAGAGAGAATTGTCAAACGTGTCAAATTTAATAAGATTGATTTTATTAAATACAAACCATCCAAAGAAAATTAATATAAAATAAGTTTCATAACATGTCTTTGAAATACTTTTGTGACCTGAATTTAAGACTGTAGAATTAAGGCCTATTATAGTGAAATGTTATGTTCTCTTAACAGAGGAATACTTTTGCAACAGTGGAACAATTTGAGAAAAGTTGCAAGCCAAGGGCTTATTATCCAGTGGTGACCTCAGTCATGTCTATGCCTTCATGTAACTCAATTTTTTATAAGACAAATTGAAAATGATAGGGACTATCCCATACGATCAGTGGGAGATCAAATACATCACATGTCAAACAACTAGCAACTATGTGACAGTGCATAATAGTTATTGTTCAGTGCATATCTGAATCAATAATTATTTACTTATATTCTAGATAAACACCTATATATCTCACTTTTGGAATTTTTGGAGTTATGTCTCACCTAAGTAAGTTCACAATTCTCTTGGCATCAGAATTAAATTGGGTACTATGTTAAGCATCTTTACCATATGACTGCATGCCACAGAGTACACTTTTAGTTAAATATAGAAATTCCATAGTTCATGTCTTCTCATGGATTTAGGTGGGGAGGATCAGAAAAGCCAATTTGATGAAAGGGATAGGGTAAAATCATATGAAGAACAGCAGAGTTTAGGGGAATACAGGACAGGTAGATGTCTTCTGTATACCAGCCCCAGCAAGTGATTTTTAGATGGCTTATTTAAAAATAATTACTTTGCATTAGCTAAGCAATGTTTCTATGAAATATACTTCTTTCACCACCATAAAGTGAACACTTACCAAGTTTCACCTGTGGGGTATAAGTTCAACATGCTTGCCAACGTTTCCATTGCAGTCAGTTTGATGGTCTGTAGAAAGCGGCAGTGCTTAAGACAGAATGAATATATATGCAATTGGGCTTCTTCATTAACCTTCACAGCAATCTTTGGGAAATAGCTCAGTGCTTCAGTTATGAATTCTTCATCTTGAGTCTCATACAGACAGTGAAGCAAGTCTGAAAACCTCAGCTGTGATGGAAGAGAGTCATCTATTTCTAATGCTTTCAGACATGTAAGTAACTCCTCTCTTATCTCCACAGATATTGTAATGTTGAAGGTTTCTTCCAGTTCTCGTATTCGGTCTTTATTCAATAGACCAAATAAAAAGCATTTCATCTGTTCCAAATGAGGGTCATGAGAATGGTTGCTTTCAAGTAACAGATACAAGTTTTGGAAAGGTTTGCAGGGATAGTCCTTTTCTCCTGGATTATCTCTTAGCAAGTAAAACAAAGCCGCAAAGAACTCCTGAACATAGGGGTAAGTGAACGTGTAGCAGTTCTCAAACTCTGTGTCCTTCTGAAGAACCTGTGCATCCAGAAAAACTGAGATTTCATTTGTGGTTAGATCATGCTTTCTGAGATTTTTCTGGTAGAGTACATGCTTCATAGTCCAAATGCCTTCAACAGCTGCCTGGCACAGGTTCCTCAGCAGTGTTTCATTGGGCAGAGTAATAGAGCTCCCAACTATTTGTGGAAATAAGCTGCAGACATAGCATGTGAACAGAGCTGTGGTGTTTTGGCAGACCGTGGCAACATTGCCACCTTTCTCTTCTTGCTTCTTCAGACAAGTACAGATCATCTGGCACATGCGGCAGACATGGCACATGTTGAAAAGCCGCTCATTCTTTCTTATTGAATCCATCACATTTATAGCCCATGTCTTATCTTTCAACAGATTGGAAATATAGTCCATTCTTGCATATTTACACAGTCCTGGTAGCTTCACACAATGAGGTTTATACAACAAAGGCACCAGTTTCTTCCAACTTGTGGTTCTAGTTGTTACTAATAAGAATGACTCAGGCAGCATCACTTTCCTCAGCAAACTGCTAATGAGAAAGGACACTGGGTGCTTCTGGGTGTAATCTTTACACAGTGCAAACTCTGGTTCTTCAAAGGAGAAGTCCAGCTCATCAAAACTATCAATTATAAACAGGAGGCTGCTGGGCTGGGACAGGATCTGCTCAATGGGGCCTTCAGTGTTAGGCCAGTTCTTTGATATTAACTGGGCAAAGCTTTTCTCCTTCACTTGGCTAATTTCTCTCCCACTGAGATAAAAAACATAGGTAAATTGTTTGTAGAGATTACCATCTGCCCATGCTAACATTGCATTTCTTAACAATGTTGTCTTCCCAACTCCAGCAGCTCCATAAAGGATTACTGTTTGTGACAACTTGTAAGTTTGGATATTCACATCAAACATACGCTCCAACAACTTTTGGTCTTTCTGCGTAAGTTCACGACTTAAAGTTGCAGATTCTCCAAGCAAAGATGTCTTATCCCATACAATAAAAAGTTTTTCCTTTATTACAGTTCTGTAGTCTGTTTTATCATCTAAGTCAGTTAGAATGGAAAAGAACCAAGGACACACAGGATTAAAACACATTTCTTTAATTTCAGTGCTAAGATTGTCTCTGCCCATCCACCCCTTTCTCCGTCTTCTCGAAGAGCAACAAATGCTCTTAACTACTTAGCCATGTCTTTAGCTCCCAAGGTTAACTTTTGAATAGACATTTTAAAAGACTGTTTTCTTGAAATCCCAGGTCAATATGATTTTGAGCCTGACTTTGTCCTTAAGTCCAGTTTTATTTATTGACTTTGAATGACTGAGAACAGTGGTACATTGAAAGCAAACTGTTCCACTGAATATCAGCTCTTAAACACTAACCCTGCCACCATAAAGCTATAAAAACATACAAAAACTGACCAGAGTCTTTGTCCTCAGATATCATTTCCTCTTCAGAAACTTGGTCTTTTATTACCTCAGTATCCTCCGACATCATGGTCTTTGTTGTCCCTGTAACAGGTTCCAAGAGGATCATGAGGTTTCCCAGAAATAGAGCTTTAGAAATGGTTAGAATGGAGGTCAGATTTTTCTGAGTTGAGATTATATGACCATCTGGGTTTAGTAAAACTAGAGCCAAGAGTTTCAAGATGCACCAGCCTAGCTGAGGGAAGAATGTGCTACAAACACTAGGGTAGACCTCTCGCCCGCTCTCTGCTTTAACACCAGCTGGCACAGCCATCTCTAATGGGAAGGGTGAAAATCATAAAGCCAGCACAGGTGCTTGACAAAAATCCTGCAAAGCTGAACCTACTGATGCCATCGCGGTGGTGCACCCCCCCTTTTTTTGCCCTTGATCTCTTATGTGTCACATGCCTGGGGGGTTATTATTCATACAACTTGGGGATATTGGATTGATGGAAATTTTCTTATGAATTATTTACGTTTTCTCCCAGGAGTAGTGCTTCTAAGCTTTCCCAGGTGTGTCCTGACCATAATATCCCTCCCACTTTTAGGGAGATAACTTTTCTGGTCCTACTTGAAGCTCTTCCTTACACCCTGGAGGTTGTGACTCAATTATGCCAGATACCTCCTTATGAGGCTCTGATTCAGATACTCTTGACATATCCACCCCTGCACTTAACTCAGGAACAAAATAATCAGGACAAAGTAAACTTAAAAAGGTAAACAATATTCGTTAGGCTAGAGAAGCTGGCAGATAATAAACATGTATTTTATAGCTATAAAGTCTTACATATAGAACCTGGTCACAGTGGCTGTGACCCCAGCACTCTGGGAGGCAGGGCAGGTGGATCTCAGTAAATTTCGGGCCAGCCTGATCTACAAAGTGAGTCCAGGACAGCTAAGGCTACAACAGAGAAACTGTCTTGAAAGACAAACTACGAAAAGCCCCAAACAAAACCCTGGGTGCTGCTCATGGATTTCACGTAAGGATCACCAACAGTACTTATTTGGGTTTGACTTATTTTAGTCCATTGCTCATTTCAGCAATTATGTCGATCATATCTCAGAATATTCAAAAGTTTTGACTTGATTTATAGTTTATGCACAAGTACAGTCAATAGGAATTATCACTCACTTTCTTAAATCATTTTAGTAGGTATATTTGTATCAATCATTCTCAAGTAAAGACCCATACAGAGTAACAGTATTTACCTCCGTGCTGCTTCTTCAGGGTTCTTCAAATGAACCAGTTCCTACTCACAGATAGGTTCTTAGCATCCCTCACAGTTGGGCTCTGTTGTGCTCTTTTTACACAGATCCCCTTAGGCTCATCTTCCCAAAAGTTTCGAGGGCTACATTCCCGATCTGCCCTTCTCGGTAGCATTTGTTCAGAAGTAAGCCAGTTCTTTGGCCGTCAGTGCAGCCCATGAGACTGAGCAGCCCCTACATTCCTCTTTAAGAGTGACTTGAATTTATTTAACTCCTCATTCCACTCATCCAAGTAAAGCAGCAGCCCAAATTCAGAAAGGGAAGAAAATGGCACCAATGTAACTGCCATCTTGCCTATGGGGTCTGGAGACGGCTTTGTGGGGAAAAATAACTTAAGCCCAAAATAATGGGACCCATGGGAAAGTGGAAATAGAAAATGAATTCTCCATACATATACATTAATCCAACATACATTTATTGTGTTCCACTGTATGGGCTCAGTATCGACCTTGAATCTTCTACAAAGCATTTTCTGTCATAAAACAGTAATTACCTTCTAGACAGAGAAGCAGGTAGGCTAACTGCATCATCTCTCACTTCTCTTCTCCAAATCCAGATCCCCAAGTCTTTTTAAAAATTTTTAAAATTAATTATAGTTTATTCACTATAAACTCACCTTGGATCTCACCTCTAGCTCCCTTCCTCCCCTCCCAAGCCCACCCTTGCTCCCTCTGCTCCAGCCATACCCCTTCCCCAGTCCACTGATAGGGGAGGTCTTCCCCTCAACCCCCTTTCTTCTGATCCCAGTCTATCAGGAGTGGCTGCATTGTCTTCCTCTGTGGCCTGGTAAAGCTGCACTCTCCTGAGGGAAGGTGATCAAAGAGTAGGCTAATCAGTTCATGTCAGAGACAGTCCCTGTTCCCATTACTATGGAACTCACTTGGAGACTGAGCTGCTATGGGCTACATCTGTGCAGGGGTTCTAGATTATCTCTATGAATGGTCCTGTTTGGGGTATCAGTCTCAGAAAAGACCTCTGTGCTCAGATTCCTTGGTTCTGTTGCTCTCCTTGTGGAGCTCCTATCCTTTCCAGGTCTTACTATTTCCCACTTCTTTTATAAGATTCCCTGAACTCTGCCCAAAGTTTGGCTATAGGTCTCAGCATCTGCTTTGATACCTTGCAGGGTAGAGCCTTTCAGAGGCCCTCTGTGGTAGGCTCCTGTCCTGTTGCCTGTTTTCTCCCTCTTCTGATTGGCACCGGATCTGCCTACCCATTGAGGGTGAATATAGAGGGGGTAGGGCTGGGTCACTGCTTAACCATAGTCCCTGCTTCAGCACCAGGAGACCACAAGCTGGCCCTAGACCAAGTGTCCCCAGCAGCTGTTCAGACACAGCATCCTTGGCCACCTCATGTCGATCCTGCTAATCAGAAGCCCACACAACCCAAATGAGGCGACTGAAAGGCACCAAAAGCAATGCCAGCCCTGAGCAGGTCCTGTACCTAAACACTTGCTAAGGAACACTGGTCTGCCTAGCTAAAATCATTGCCAATGAAGCTGCAGAGCAGCCCTAGCCCGTTGAGACCCTAGCTTGTCTCTGGTCTGGGCTACTGGGCTGCTGCCTGGCCCTAGGAACCCTAGAAAGGGACCTGCAAGCTGTTGGTGGAAGTGCTGCTTCAGGTCTGGTTTGAGCCACTCCTTAGCCACCTTTTCCCAAAGAGGCGTGCCACCCTTCTCCCAGCGTCTTTTTGGCCAAGGCAGCAGCTCTGTGCGTGCTGAACTTGAGCAGTGCAGGCAGGGACCCAGCGGTTATAGGACCCGCAGTGGCACAGAGTGGTCCACGCTTGGAGGCAGACCATCCACCCTCAGCTTGTACGTCTCGGTGCTTCGGAGCACACCAGGAGCTAACAAGAAGGCCGCAGCTGGTGGTTGTGCACTGGAGCAATGAGAGCTTGGGCACTGCGCCCTGAGCTGTAGTGCGGGTTTAGGTTGCTGAAGGTCATCATCAGGTGGAGCTCATACAGGCACCCCATGCTCTGGAAGAGTGGGATCAGCTGGTACTCGTTCACATCCTGCGGTAGTCAGCCTATGCCACATCGGACCCTGACCATGGCAGGCCACCCACCCAGCCCGGGGGCAGCTCACCACACTTCCTTTGTCCGCTGACCTGCAGATGTCAGTCTCCCTTACTCACACCTCCAAGGCTGCCTTGTTCTCTGGATTCACTCTCTCATACTATTGCTCACACTCCCATTTTAGACTGCATAACTCGCTTAGGTCTGCCAGAGCCCTCTTTAGAACTTTGGTGGGACACTCTTGATTTAAAAAAATCATTAAAGTGGCATAATCAGTGGGGTGTTGGTGGTGCATCCCTTTAATACCAGCACTCAGGAGGCAGAGGCAGGTAGATTTCTCTGAGTTAGAAGCCAGCCTAGCCTACAGAGTAAATTCCAGCACAGCCAGGGTTGTTACAGAGAAGCCCTGTCTAGAAACAACCGAAACCCAACCCAACCCAACCAACCAACCAACCAACCCAACGAACCAAAAGCTAATGAAAGTGTACCATAATGAACTTGTCAGCAGCGCAGTCAGTGGGAGCCTCGAGTCGAGAGCAACTCCAGTCAAGAGCAACTCCAGTCACTGCTGGATTGGTAGTGAGTAGACCTTGAGTCACCGCTTTCTAGAATTTCGCTAGAAAGAGGCATGCTGGCACCATGTGACATAAGGACCACATGTTTTGAAGAGGCTGATTTTGCTGGCAGTAAGGAAAATCAGGAGGCCTCAGACTAAAGGATGGACACCCGCACCAAGGTCGGAATGGAGAAGTGTGGTTCGGGTGCCCCAGACTGCTGAGCAGGACTATAATAATTTTAATTCCCGGCCTCAGACTGGGAGTTTCTAGTGATGCCAGTTAGGCCTCAATGCAAAGGCCACTAAACAGGAGAGAACCCCAACTCAGCTTCTCCATTCCACCCTGACCCCAGTTACCAGCTGCATAGTCCCACGGGAACATCACCTTGCTAAGGCTGTAGGTGTCAGGCTCTCCAGGGACCCGGCAGCTCCTTTTCTCCCATTCAAATGCACACCGCATCCGTTCCCTAGTGTGCATGCACAATGTAGAAGGGTTCTCACTTACTAGTGTAAGACCTGGCACAATAGACACCAAGGAGCACCATTCCATACCTCTGGTCTGGGTTGGTGTTGGTGACTAAAATTGAGTCCTTGGGTTGAGCTGAACAGCACAGCGAAAGGAAGCCTCAGCAAGTTCAAGGAGAAAGAGCATCTCAGCCTTTAGCCCTTAAGACTGATTGGCTGCCTTTGGGCGAGGCAGGCTCTCCAGCAGGGATTGGTGGGCTGGCTCAGCCTGGCCTCAACACCTGTCCAGCAGGTGTCTCTTCTGATTGGCTGGTTGCGCGAGATCTCTGATCCTAATTGTCTAGGCCTCCACACTTCCAGACCCAGTTCCTATCCATGAGATAATTTCTGTGCTCAGTACAATGTGTAGGACCTCAAACATGTACCGAGCTACAAATTTTGTATTGTATTATTATGAAATATTTTCATTTTTGCTTTATTACCTAACAAACAAATTTACCTGTCGATTATTGGTGTTCTCTTCCTGCCTTCCCAAGTTGGTACCATCGTGCCTTTCCTCAGCCCAGAAGATTCATCACTTTCTGTGGTTCTTAAGTTAACCTTCCGTTAGCTGAAATTTCTAATCTGTTTGCCAATGATCGTTTTGTTAAAGCAACTTCACAAGTGTTTCTTATAAACTGTAAAAGGATGGATTTTGCAGCCTCACCTGCTCTGTTCCTGCCCTTACGTAG